TAAAAATATAAAAATAAGTCTATTATCAATACATGCTATATTAAAAGCATTAAAAAGAGAAAGGGTATCATAATGGTGTAGATGAAAGACTTGAAAACTTGAAAAAAATCAATGAGAATGGACTGGAAAGCAACAAATGGTTGACTAAAGAAAAATTATTATATATGAAAGATAAAGGAGATCCATCATGCACATATTTCTGAATAGGGAATAAAACAAATGAAACAAAAATACTCAATGATATGGCAGAAGGAAATTTGCTGAAATAATGATACCTCTGAATTTTACCAGATTAAGCAGGTGCAACACATTCTGGAGAAATTGACCCCCCCCCAAAAAAATAAAAGTGAACAGGCTTCCAAAATCAAAACACAATAAAACTACAGATTTTTGAGGTATAATAGATATATAAAGAACTATACATATTTAATGTGTACAATTTGATGAATTTGGACATATGGAAACACCTCTGATACCCATGATCACTATCAAGGTAACGGACATATCTAATTTAATCTCCCAGACTTTTCCTTGTATCTTTTTGCACATAACTCACTCCTAAGTATTTTCACATAAATCATTCTTGTCTTTTCCATTAGAATGAGATTATGATAAGGATATTCTCTAATCTTTTCACTAGTTGTATTCTAAAACATAGTTAAGTTGGGATTGCTGTCCATGAATTCATTACCATGCAAGTCACACACCTCTACTGCATTTTGTTTTAACTCATCTCTACTATATTGAATCTGCCTCCTGATTAAATAAATCTATTGGTTGGAATGCTAATTTTGCTACATGAAATAAATATGGGCTTTTTGTTGGAAAACATAGGGTTGAAGCATGACTACCCCTCTACCTGCTATGTGATTTTAGGCAAATTACATATCTTCTCTCATACCATTAAAAGCTGCAGATCTGTGGCAAGCAAGATTTGTGTCCTTGGTGGTCAACTGAATTAAAAATGGTTTTGCCATCACCCTCTTAATTTCTACTCTTAGAATTCTATAGAGTTAGCCAATTAATCATACGACTCTAATGTGGCACACTATATGCATGCTCATGGTAGTTCCTGAGAATGAAAGACGCACCCAATTATATCTTCACAGGAACTGCAGCTGATTTAAGTCACTGGATCTCCAGTTCTGTCAAGACTTCCACTCCTATTGCTATTACCTAGGCTCTTGGCAACTTCTTTGATCTTTTCTCCATCATTTCCCTTTTGTTCTTTTTGCTTTCTTTTTGTTTCTCACATAATTCTCGGGTTTTGTACAATTGCTTGTTTTTATGAGTATTGCTTTACACCTGGTATGAGGTATACCAATTTCTTTTTTAAATTTTATTTATTATGTTATGTTAGTCACCATACAGTACATCATTAATTTTTGATGTAGTGATCCACGCTTCATTGTTTTCGTATAACACCCAGTGCTCCATGCAATATGTGCCCTC